CAAGGCTGAGCCTCTCCACACCCTCCTCAGACAGCACCACAGACAAGTACGTGAGGTCATGTGCGACACCATAGCAGTCATAGGAACACATACGTTTATTCAAACAAGTTGACAGAACACTGTGAATGTGTGAACATGACTTCACGCCACGTAAACCTTAATAGATCTCTTTTTGGAAACACCGAAGTTTCAAGAGACTTCTGCCTTGTTAATGAGATGTTGAGCCTTGAGCCGTTCAGCTTTGGAAAGAGTTAATCTCTTGTAGCCTGTGAGCTATCAATATATTTTTTTTCACTTCTGGACATGTCTCCAACAGAAATGAAAACTCACAAAAAACTTACTCATAAATCTTCATAGTCATTTTATTCATCATAATGAAAAAAATGGCATGACATCTAAATAACAAATACGGAATATGTGGCATATTCAACCAAGAGAGCACCACAGAACAATACAAAAGGATGAACAACCACAGCTACAAGCAATGGATCTCAAAAACATTAGGATTTGCATGAAGCTTTCGAAGAAGTTAGGTTACCTCATAGTGAGAGAAAGGACCTCACTGGGGGTGGGGGTTGGGGGCAGGGTGGGAAAACGGGCATAGACTGTACTCAACCCAATATCAACATAGTTTCTGAGAGTTACACTGTTCTACACTTAAATGGCAATGGTGGTTGTGTTCTCATACACATTTATTAAAATGCACTGAACGAGGAGCAGATCTGAAATGAGTTTAGTCATACGTTACCAAGAAAGGGTTTTAAAAATATGTTCTCATCGTGTTTGTAAAGTTTTGGCCTAATCACTTAAGGCTGGAATGCTAATGCGTGACATATAGAAGTCAAGGGAGGGAGACTTAAGGCAGGAGGTGAAGAATCCAGTTTCCCCTGCATCAAGATGCAGGTGTCTGGATCTCCTTCAAGCTCTGCCGCACCTGGAATTGATCAGCCAATCTCGGGGGGGGGGGGGGCCGGGCGGTGGCAATATATGTGCCTTCCTGGCTACTTCTGCCTTTGCTTCCAAGGAGCAAGAGCTTTCTTAGTCTTGTTTACTCTGCCCCAGGCCTGGAGCTCAGTCCTTTTCGGAATGCCTTAGAAGGCGACAGGGGCACAGGGACCTTTTCTGAGGATGGGCAGTGCCTGTGATTATGAGAGATTTCTTTCAGAGACAAGTTCCTGAGACCCAAGGGACACACAGACCTAGAAGGTGGAGGTGGAAGGTGAGTGAGTGCCCTGCAGCCACTGAATACTTTAGTCTGTAAGATCCTGAGTAGGCGGACAGCACTTGGATGGGAGGGGCCTCACGATGAAGCCCAGTGACGACCTTGCCTAGGCTAGCTCGCAGGGTCTGGGAGCGCCCGCAGGGGTGAGAGTGCTTGGGTGAGGAGTCTGGAGTGTTAGAGGGTGGTGGTGGATTTGAGAGGTGCCTTTTGCAGCGAGCAGCCTGGCCCCAGGAACACTCTGCAAGAAGCACGCAGTAATCCCTACGGTGACGCTGCCTCACTTCGGCCCTGGTGAGCGGCGCCCCCTAGCGGACTACGACTGCAGTGCCCTGGAGCGCGGGTCACGCTGCAAGAATGAGGCCTGTACGCTGCTCTCTGTAGGAAGTCAGACCAGTTGCACTCCAGCTCCCCGTCTTTAAAGAGCTTTAAAGAGCGTGGTAATTGCATCTCACTAGAAGCGGGAAAACACGAAGGGCTTGGCGTTCTTTGATCTTTCAACACACTCCCAACTCCTGGAGGTGTTCTGGAATTCCATTTGCCATTTCCCAGTATGAGCCCATGGGAGAGTTACTTAGACCCCACACACACACACACACACACTCACCCACCTCCATTTCTCTTCTGTAAGCTGGTGTTTGTGAAGGTTAAGCGTATCCAGTCTAATGCTTGTCCCTACCTGAGACCTCTAAGGTCACTCTTAGAGGTTTAGGGGCTGTGTACATTTTAAATGCTGTATTGAGAGACCCATAGTGCAAAGAGAAGTTTAGGTTTAGGAGCCTGAACAGAAGATGTGTTCAAATAAGCTGTCCTATTTGGCTTCAACACCTCTGGAGCTCCAGCTCTCAAATGAGGAAAGAGAGAGAGAGAGAGAGAGAGAGAGAGAGAGAGAGAGAGAGAGAGAGAGAGAGAACTGATAGTGGGAGCCAACGTTGGCTGAAGCAAGGGAGGGAGCCTATTCCAGAAGTAAGCTGGGACTGCTCAGGAGGGTGGCTCTTCTGGTCTCTGGGGTGTAGCAGTACCCTCTCAGGGCCCCGGGGCTGTAGTTTGAGGTAGAAATGCCATCCTGGGATTGATTGCCTGGCTTCTAAGGCTATTCCCTAAGCTTTGAATGGGCAGAGAACTGGGCTGGTACCAATCTTCATGGCTTGGTCTAAGCCAGCCCCAAAGGACCCCTAAGGAGCTGCTAAGCCTAGACCCTACCCTTCTGGCAGTATCTCTGTTCTCCTTCGGGTGCCCCCGACCAGTGAATTCTCAGAATGTGCACAAGTTTGCTTGCCTTCCTACCTTTGTTCACAACTTGGCTGTCCTCTCTGCCTATACTTCTGACCCTTGAAATCATCCCTAGCCCCTTCTCTGATTTCCCAACCGAATTCACAGCACTTGGGTCTTTGCCCCGTGTCAAGTTCCTATCCTTGCTCAAGGTATATATATGCCCTGCAAAGTCAGGAAATGTGTTATGTCTGGTCCTTGCACACACCAGCTACCAAACAAATAAGGTGTGATTGACAACTGGAGGGGACCTCATTTTTCTATCTATAGGTTGTGATGGTCACATTGGCCTCACCATTCAGGAAGAAGCTCTGGGTGAGACTCCTCCCCTGGAGATAAGCTCCTCCCCTTGGGGGCATGCTCAATCAGCTGTCTTCCGCCTCAGCCTTTTCATCCTTTGTCTAAGTCTTTGTCAACTAAAGATAACCTTTTTCTAACCCTGCATCTTTCTAAACCTCTGATTCATCAGCTCTGCCTCTTCGGAGCCTGTCTTCTCCACCTTTCCATCCCTAAGGCAGCCTTGTCCTTGCTGAGGTATCATCTTTTCATCTCTGGGGACCCGCTGGCTGTGGATGCATCCCCCCTCTGGCTGTACTCATTTCTCTTCCAACAGCCTGACAGAACTAACTGAAGGGTCTCAGTGAGCATAGTGGTTCACCTAGAATCACTCCCCATGATGGAAGATTCTAGCACTTGTCTAAGTCTGCCCCACTCCCCTCTGAGCACAGAGGATTATATTTCTCCACCTGTACAGCAGCTCGATAGTGCCATGAGACTAGCTCTGGCCAAGAGCCTGGGAACAGAAAAACTCTGTGCTTCTTCTGGCCAAAACACTTGCTTCCCATGGCAAGACCTTCTTAGCTTTCTTCCCTGCCTCATTAATTGTGGATTGATGAAACAGAGGTACCTCAAGTCCAAATAGTTGGCATTCAGAGCCACCTTTGGAAGTCACTGCCCTGGAGAGTCACCCAAACAAGCCATGGGCTTTGTGCAAACAAGAGATAAATGTGTGTTGTGTCATGTGACTGAAGCCTAGCCAAGCCTATTCTGGTTGGTTTGAGGAGTTCACTAAATAAATGCATGGCTTGGCGAACTGCAGTGATCTGTGTACATTTTATTTTTGTTATCAAAGTGTAGCAGGCGCCCAGGGAGCAGGGTAGAGAGCCCTGTGTCCCAGGGCCACCGTACAGGGCTGGAAATGGGTGTGGAGATTGATAAATGGGCAGGGCATGTCACAAGAGAAAGGCTTTCTCTCATTAATGATTTGCCAAGGGCTTGCCCAGAACCTGTTTACATATTTAATCACCGATGAAAGGTTAACGAATCTGGCCCTCTTGGCAGGGGGTGGACATTTTTTCCTCCAATGTTTAGTTTCTGTGGCTGGGAAAGATAGGATTTTTTTCCTGGATTTGCAAAGATTACACACACACACACACACACACACACACACACACACACACACACACCACTGCCAGTCTCTCTGAGAAGCTGTAATACAATATTTTACTATCAAGTTGACAGTAATTCAGGACCCAGCTTAGCTGCATCTCTCCATCTTTGAAAGTGTTGAAGACAAATACAACATGGCTTTGTTTCTTAAGCAAGAGCGTGATAACCAGTTACCAGATGGAATATTCCTCCAAAAGTCTGTCTGTGTGCTTCATTCTCATGGCTCTGCTTCTCCAAGTCTTCTCCTCTTTGTCCCTTTTTCTCCACGTCTGTTCTACAACCTAGGCATGTGGTGCACACCTTTAATCCCAGCACTTGGGAGGCAGAGGCGACTGGATCTGTGGTGCCTATGTTGTGGTGCCCAGAGGGTTCACTGGATCTCATCTGATGAGTAGTTACAGTGTTCTTGGAATGCTTGACTAGAAGGTGGAGAATTCAAATATTACCGAGGTCTCCCAACCTCCATCACTCAACCTACACCACCCTAAAGAGATCTCTCCATTTCCCTCTCACAAGTCAACGAACTTCAGTGGGAAAAGAGAGGGTCTTCTCACTACCTAAGACTCTTGCTAACTTCAGAATGAGTTATATGGAGAGAGGGGCTTGGGGCAGCCAGAAAGACCTGGGCTTTCTGTGAAAGCTGTCTGCTGGCTGCTTCCTTGATTTTGGAGTTCTCCTTTCCTTTCCTTTCCTTTCCTTTCCTTTCCTTTCCTTTCCTTTCCTTTCCTTTCCTTTCCTTTCCTTTCCTTCTTTCCTTTCCTTTCCCTTCCTTTTCTTCTTTTTGTCCCCCTTCTTTTTTGTTTTTTTATTGAGACAAGGTCTCAATATGTATCCCTGGAACTCATTATGTAGACCAAGTTGGCCTTGAACTCTCACAGATCCAGCTGCCTCTGCCTCCCAAGTGCTGGGATTCTTTATTTTCCTTTCTTTTCTTTTTTTCTTTTTTCTTTTTCTTTTGATTCTTTATTTTCAAATAGACTAGTGTGGCTTCCATCATAGGTTGTGATGAGGATCCTGCCAGAGACTTTGGACCAAAGGATACTTGACAGATATGCCTCTCTTCCAAAGGATGGCAAACCTTTTATTTCCTGGTTCTCTGATCCCTCTTTGTGAGGTTGCATATCGCAAGAAAGATGGGGTAGTAAAGAGGGAAGGGTTTCCTAGGTTGGGTGGGGCAGCAGGGAATGATATAGCTGTGGTTGTGTCCAGGAACAGGGCACTGACCCTGAGTCAGACTCTACAGGGGTTCTAAACTCCATAGAGAAGCAAGGAGAAGAGTCCAAAGACCTACTATGATGTAAAGGCACCTTTGGTGATTAATTCTCATGATTTGGCTCTATGCATGGGTGACCTACAACACACCTTCATCTCCCTGGAACGTGGAGTTTCTGGATTCTTTTTACAGTCACAGAAAGGGACTCAGGCTTTGTGAAGGGTGTTCCTGCATTTTAAAAAAATGCATATGAGTACTCTAACTCCATGTACACCTGCACGCCAAAAAAGGGCAACAGATCCCATTATAGATGCTGGGAGCCATCATGTGGTTGCTGGGAATTGAACTCAGGACCTCTGGAAGAACATCCCATGCTCTTATCCACTGAGCCATCTTTCCAGCCCCAGTGTTCCTGTATTTTAATAGTAATCTTGAGCATGCTATACTCAAGGACGTCTGTGACACTTTGCTCTTTAATTGAAAAAAAAAAAAGTGAGATCTTTAAAGCCCCTTTGGCATTTGAGAGGCAAGATTTGCTAGACAGTGGTAAATGATCAATTATGACTGTGGTATTCATGGATATAATGTTTGTGACTGAGCCCACTTCTGGATATGAAGTCAGGGGCAGTGACTGGGCCTTCCAAAAGCCCATTCCCTTGAGTCTTTGACATTGATCTGCACAGAAAGCACAAGGGCCCACACAACAACCAGCAATGCCTGGGGTCTGCTCAGCACCAGGCAAGTGGCTTGAGAATGACGCAGCCTCTAGTGCCCTTGGCTGCAGGCCTCTAGCGGTTGAAGCATGGCTACTTCTTTGTCTAAAAGGCACAAATTCTGTCTGCTCTCTGATAGAGCCATGACATCACAAATTCACAACCAACTTACACCCATAACAGAATTATAATATATTAATAGCAATATAACGGGATAAAGGCTTGTGGGGACAGCCAATCTTTCAGAAACGGAAGATTGGCATTCATTGTTCGAGACGTTGGTTGAAGGCCATGCCTTCAGAATCTGGTTAAATTGCAATGAGTAAGCCCAGGGTTAGTCGCAGAGAATCATGTTCCAAGCAGAACCATTTGAGCATGCTGAAACTGGCCCATGAGGTTGTGTGGAGCCTCCTCTTTAATAAGATCTGTGGAAGTGAGCCCGGTGGCTTCAGAAAGAGCGCTGCCAGTAACAAAGGCTCCGTGAAGGCTTCAGTCTCACAAGGAGCTTTGCCACACCAACATAAACCATTTGGCTTCTCACCATATAAGGCATTTCTGAAAGGCACTTAAATGTCACATAGGGCAATGTCAATTGCCTAGCTGCTTCAGGGACCCGGGGAGCCAGCTCTCCATCTCAGGCACACAGTCAATCTGGTGGAGCCCTAAAGGATACGCATGGGTGGTCAGCCCAGGAGCTTTTCTGCCAACCTTTGGGTACTTGATATGCTTGGCAAATGTGTGAGTGTGTCCTTGCTGCCCACCGAGCGCTCTCTGGGAGGAAGCCCTAGTGTGAACAGAGGTGAGATTTTCAGGGGAGCTCTCAGAGAACCATATAGTATCACTGCCAAGAACCAAGGCAGTCTCTGATAAACAGAATCGTTGGTAAAAGGCCTTATTTCCTGGGCCTCTGCCTTTGCCTCTCCATCACATAGCATGGGTGGCCCCCAGCCCAGGCCCACAGAAGGAGCCCACCTCCACCCAGGGGTAGTGAGGAGAAGCTGAGAAAACGCCAATGAAGATAATGTGTTTGCAAACCAGTCAACCTGGCTGCCCTCTTTGTGGGCTGGCTGTAACTTGCTATCCAGCACAGTGACAGGTGGCAGCCACTCTGCTCCATCTCTTGCTCTGACTGCATCTCAGGTGGTCCCCCTTTACTCCTCTGCACATGAGCTGAAGTCCAGACAGCAAAGCTCACGTGAGGCCACTCTGTTTCCGGGGCATGGTAGAAATGGCCATTTGTGTCTCTCTGAAGGGGGAAGGCCTTATCTCCACTGTGAGGGTGGGAGACTGGGGCCCTCCTTACATGGGCTCCTTGTGGCTTTGTTAGTTTGAAAGGCAGAAGGAAGCATATGCTGACAGGAGAGTAGGCCTCAGGTTCCTATGAACAGTATTTGGTTGATCTAGCTTTGTTAGTTCCTTCGTTCCTGCTTTGATACCAGGGTGTAGTATAAAGAGAGGGCCATACTTCCCAAAATGGTGGGTTCCAAATCAGCCTCGAGGGCAGAAAATGGGAAAGTAAGGGGAGACAATCCCTCCTGAGTTCCATGCTAGTCTGAATCCAGATGAACAGTGGCCACAGCCAGCTCCCTTAGCCCAGTTGTAGCTGATATGAAACCAACCACCTGCTCCTCCTGTTCCTCGCTGCTGAGTATGGGCAGAGGCAGAGGAGAGCTGGGCTGCCTGGCACGGAAGGCAAGACTCCCTTTCCTCACTCCACTTAAGTATTCCTGAGAGACTGGTGAGAACAGAGGCTGCCTTACTGTGGGCATCTTGTTAGAAGAGCCAGTCTGAGGAAAGGCTGCCTGTGTCGGGGATCCCTTCCAAGGACTTTGAGAAACTAAACTCTCCAGCCCAGTGCCCATTCAGCTCAGTACACATCAGGCCTTAAGAACCATGGGGAGACTTTAGGAGGAAGAGGCAGGTGAGGCAAAAAGTGAGTGAATGTTCTCTCTCTCTCTCTCTCTCTCTCTCTCTTCTCTAGTGTGTGTGTGTGTGTGTGTGTGTGTGTATGTGTGTGTATGTGTGTGTATGAGAGAGACATGAGGAAAAGGAGGAAGAAGAGGGGAGGAAGGCATGTTAACATTAAGAGGACAGGCAGGCATGGAGGGGGTAGGATCCAGTCTCTGGGGCAGGGCAGTAGTCCCAGCTGCGGGTCAGATGAGGCCCGAGGTATTCTCCTGCAGGCTGTATTCCCTGTTCTTCTTCACCCTCCAGCTGATAAAGAAGAGCAGCAGTGTTCCTAAGGCCTTGTAGACCACCTGTAGGCCCAGGTACCTATGAGGGAAAAGAGACAAGAATGGTGAGGCCCAGGGGCAGTGGGAAGATGAACATCGTTTTCACAGTGGCCTAGGAGCTGTGAAGACTGTTACTCAGGTAGCGAGCTGTCACCTCCCAGGTGGTCACTGTGGATGAACACAGGACATTAGTGATCCTCTGCTCTCCAGTGGCATCACTAATGGGTAGAGGTGACACTACTGTCCCAGCTGTCTCCAGAGGGTCTATATCTTTCTGCTGCCTCTCTGCTGGCCTTCTCTAACCGTCCTCACTATTTCTAGCTCCTGTACAGCCCCTGCAAGCCCATCTTCTCCACCATTTCTAGATGATAGAACGGAAGCAACAGAAGAGTTGGCTGGATTTGACTCACTGACATAGGTTGGACTCCCTTCCTTGGACCTCTGCTGGGGGCCATGCTGTGTTCCCTCTCTCTGAGTTTGCCTGGTGTCTTTCCATATTCATAATCTCTCCCAGGCTCTAGGCACCCCTTTACCTTTGGTGAACATTGCTGTTATGAGCAGGCCCGTGAGGGACAGTACCTTGGGGATACCTCAATGTAGACCCTGTGTCCCCTTACTTGAATGGCTCCTTATAGGTCCCCAAATGCCTGCCATGGTAGCCTCTGCTCTTTGTCCATGGCAGAATCTATGGAGACATCCCCTTCTATCTTGTCCCTTAAAAACCTGACAGCCCCCATAACATCTGTGAGGTTAAAAAAAAGTGTTTTTTCCATGCTGGGACTACAGGACTAATCTCCTAGGCACCTGTGTATGTGTGAGCCCTCACCTGTTTCGGAGAGCATCGTTGTCATAATATGCACAGGCCCCTCGTCTCCCTGAGCATAGGTAGTTCCACCGGATACAGGAGGAGTCAATGAGGAGGCCATAAAGGGATGGAGCTGGCAGCCAGGCTGGCAACAATAGGAAAGAGAATTCAGAGATGGCTCTGCAGTCAGAGATGCAGGAGCCTCCGCACCAATGGCCCTCGGAATCACAGCGCCGTGGGAAAGCAGACAACTGCAGTGAACTTGAGTTCTCCTTTCACCAGAAGGCTTAGGAGATAAAGGGGACTCCATTCTGGGCAGAATGAATCACAGGGTCAACCTGGTGTCAGCTCAGACACACTGCACCGGTCTCATGCTCAAGGTTGGCCCCAAGTAGAAATTCCATCTCGAGAGTGCTAATGTCTCTGAGTTCTCCCACAGCCTCTGTGGGTGAGTGGATTCACTGCAATGAAGAGCAAGTGAGCAAGAGGACCCATGGGTTCACTGAACCCCATTTCACCGAAGTTTAAATCCCATGCTCTTCTTCCACTCCAAACTACCCCACTGGATTAGACAACACCCTTTAAAGACCTTTAAATACCCTATCTTGCTCGGAACACAGGCTGCCAAGATATCAAAGCATCTTAATGTTAAGATGAAGTCCAGCAGGCACAACGCTTTACTGGGTGCTGAATATTTTAGATGCCCACTACCCAACCCAACCAAACTCTGTGGTACTAGCCAAGTTGTGAGCAGCCAACAGGTCAGGGTGGACTTGTCCAGCAGCCAGTGGGTCAGGGTGGACTTGTCCAACAGCCAGTGGGTCAGAGTGGACTTGTCCAGGATTTACATTGGGGATGGATCATCCCATTCTCAGAAACTCAGTGCTAAAAACACCTTTCTAGCATCCTATGAGTTCCTGTTTCTGGAAGAAAGAGGCAATCCAGCCCCATGTCCCTACCCACATCAAGACACTCCCAAGAGCAGCCTCTCAGGCCCTGCTCACTTTCCGGTTTGCAGGTGAACAGTGGCTAGAAACTGGCCCTAGTGACACATCCCTAAATAGAAAAGAAGTCAGAGAGAGTTTTCAACCACATCTCAGTGGGTGACTGTAAACCTGCTGGGGTTTATAAATAGGCAATCTTTTCATCTAACCCAGAGTGAAGCTGTGTGCTTAAGCCACAAGTGGAATTCCTCCAGGCCTGGGTTTCTCACTATGGTCTCACATAGTTATCTGAACTCAGGTGGAAAGAGGAAGCAGCAAGTGCTTGGAGCAGTGGGATAGAGAGGCCATTCTCTAGGTCACCAATAGAAGCAGGGTAGAAGGTCCTCTGGGATTCCTCTGGGAGGAATACCAGGACTCTTCCCCTGCCAGGGCATTAAAGTAAGTTATAAACCAGCTATAGATGGTAAGTCATAAATATGATACAAGGAGCTGTGCTAACAAACTAGCCTCAACCTGGACAAGATACCGTATGTCCCCTGTGTGGCCCCAGGAATGTGACGGTTGTCATTTAGAGAGTTAAGGTCCTTTGAAACTTAGAGGCTGCATTCAGGACAAGTGGCTTGCAGCTAAGAAGCTCCATTGAAAATTTACAACATATGAAATGTAAATAAAACATCCAATAAAAAAAAATTAAAAAAAAAAAGAAAATTCTGGCTCAGACCCCGCATAGGATCCTGCCCTTCTGACTTCAGTAGGGACGATGACACACACCTGGAAGGTTAATGAAAGCCATGGCCGGGCAAGATGTGGCCTGCACCCCTGTATAATACTGCAGAACAGGCTCCATGTGGGTTTCAGTGGTTAAGGTAGGAAGGCACACATTGATAGTAACTCAAGCCCTTCTGCCCGGAACCTCCAAATCCCCACCCCTGAAATTCTCAGTACAGAGATCCTCTGTTAAATTCAATCTCTATACTTTTGTTCATCCACCGTAGTAAGACCTCCACATCAGTGCCTAGGGTTCAGTCTAATGCATGAATGTGTCAAGGGTGTTAAAGGGCAGACTAGAGTTGGAGGGCTGGGACAGCACCTACTATGTGTCCCCTCACCCCTCAGTCCCTGCGCTCAGGGAAGCCAGATGCCTCTTGCTCCCGTGGGAGTTCTCCCTCCATGTTGGTCTCTGCTGATCACGTGTGTGCACAGCTTGCGTGTTTTGAGTGCAGATGGGGGGCTCCAGGCTACTTGAGGACAGACAGGGTTCGGAGGCAGAGGGTCCCCCACAGGAGAGAGATTTGCTGAACCATGGCAGAGGACTGAAGTTTGGAAAATGGGAGAGAGGCCAGGGCTCAGCTCAGAAACTGCTCTTCTAGGGCAGGAATGTAAGGTCTTGTTCCCTAGGGCGGATTCTTGGAGAAAGATTTAAAAATACCTGCCTTTAACTCTGTATTCGGCACTCTCAGCTATGACCTTTTCTTTTTCTTACATAATTTAAATCTGGCTTGAATTCTGTAGGTAGGATCTTTTCTGATCTCAAGCCATCAGGCAAACTGTCATTTGTCAGGGTTTGGTACTTGTTGTTAGGAATACACAGCTTCTCTATACAGCCAAGATGAACCTGGGCTTCTCCTAACCCTGCCCTGCCGCACATAGCCTTTACAAGCCCACGGTCCAGGGCCTCTACTCCAGAAAGAAGCTCCTAAATTACCTACCCAGCAAACGCATCAACAAGAACTGCACCCCAATGGCAAATGACTTTTCATCCTGGTTCACCACTCTGAAAAGGAAAACAGGAAGTTAGTACCAGGAGGACTTTGGGCTGCAGCGTCACCTGGAGGGTGTGAGGTATGGGGAATAGAAAGACTCAGAGCAGATCAGAACTGGTCCTCATGGAGTCTGACAAGGCACATGGAGGATGAGAGTTATCTGCTGAATGCTTGCTATACCCATCGTTCTCAAAACATTGCTGCTGGATCAGAGGCATCGCCCAGGCTACATTCAAAATACAGATTCTCAGCCTGGCATCCATTAAAAATGTGGATAATTCCAGGAGAGTTGGATGCAAACTTGAGTTTGAGAACTAATAGTCTATACTGTCTTCAGGACTGTCCAGAGACTTCTTGGAGAGAAAGCAGGCAAGAGAGACCAAGTAGAAAGGAATTTCTGGCTGGATGCATAGGCAGCAGGTCTGAACAACACCCACAGAATATCTTGTACTAGGAAAAGAGGGCCCTGGGCTATCAGCTTCTGTGCATATCTGAAACAATTCCTTGCCCTGGGCCAGCTTTGTAAGGTGTGACTTGAGCAGCTGCATAGGATGCGACCATCAGAAAGGCTCAGCGTTGGGTTACATACGTCTTAACGATTCCCGGGCTTTATAACTTCATTTGCACCAGGTTGCACCACTTTCTACCTTTCCTCCTTCTAGAGGGCAAAGGCAAGACCAGGTACAGAGGCTCAGCTCTCCCTAGAGAGCTGCCACCTCAACTGGAGAGCAAAATAGGGGTTGACATCTCATACGTGGGGTGAGGCCCTCAGAGCAGTGGTAGAAGCGCCTGCTGTGTGACCAGACTCCGGCTTCTCCAGGCTTTCCCCACGCATGCTCCTGGGTAGGTGATTATCATTTAGAAAAAGATTTGGAGCTGGGGAAAGAGAGGAAGAGATCTCAAAAGTGACCATTGCCAAAGTCAGTCAGCATCTGAGGGACATCCCCACGGGGGTGACCCAGGGAAGGGAGGCTCTTTGGAGGCCAAGTAGGAGAGAGAGGGACCGTCTGGGATCTCCCAGTGGACAGTGCCTGGAATGCCAATCGAATGGATGTTCTTTCCCTCTGTATCAGCTTGTCTCCAATGGCCTGGTCCACAATGGATGCCTGCGATCGCTAATCTTCATTGCCAACTTATGGATCTGGAATCACCTGGGAAACAAACTTCTTGGTGTATATCCATGAGGATGTATCCCGAGGGGTTTGACTAAGTTGGGAGGATGTACCCCTGAATGTTCATGGTACTACTTAATACTTTGGGGTTCTGGGATGAATGGAAAGACAGCAGGCTTGGATAGAGTAAAACAGGTGTGCTAGGCAAGTGCTCTGTTACTAAGTTACATTCTCGACAGAACATCTGGTCCTTCACTGCTTAACCTCCTGGGGAAAGAGGTCTTAACCAATACGGAGAACACCAGCCCCCATCTCTCTTTTGAGGTAGGGCAGCGGTCCTCAACCTTCCTAATGTTGTGACCCTTTAATACAGTTCCTCATGTTGTGGTGACCCTCCCAACCATAAAATTATTTTGTTGCTACTTCCTAACTGTCATTTTGCTACTGTCATGAATTGTAATGTAAGTTCTGTGTTTTCCAATGGTTGTAGTAGACAACCCCTGTGAAAGGGTCATTTAACCCCCAAAGGAATTGTTACCCATATGTTGAGAGCCTCATGAGGTAGGGTCTCATGTTGTTTAGGCTGACCTATAACTTACTATATAGGCAAAGAAGACCTTGAGCTCCTGGTTCTCCTACTCCCAAGCCCTAGGTTTATAGGCGACACCACCATGCTCAACAGAGGCGCTACTATTCACAAAGCCATTGACCCTGCAACGCAGACACCCGCACTTGGAGGTGGCTATCACTATCTCCCTTTCATAGTCAAGGAAACTGAAGCTCATGAGGTCAGGCAACACCCAAAACACTCAGGTAGAGACTTTTAATCTGACAGGGAGTTTCCAACCTCTGTGTTTCTCCTTCTCTGCTTCCAAGTAAGCTAATGAGGTTGGATGGGAGGGAGGCCAGAGAGTCAAGCAGGAGGTGGTTAGATGAACTTGGGTGAGATTTCTTTTCTTTTTTTCTTTCTTTTTCCTTCTTGGTAGAATGAGGTGAGAGAGAGGCACTCTCTATACAAACCAGACACTTCTCTTGTCCCCACCCTGGTCCCTCGTCCCTCTAACCCGAGCACTGGGTCTCCAGCCTCCTACAACTTTCTCTTTTTCAGCCCTTTCTCACAGCTTTTGCTTTGCTTCTGAAACTTTCCTCAGTTCCCGACCTGCTGGTTTCTCCTTTCTTTTAAGGTTGAAGAATGAGTGAATCTGTAAGCACAGCCTGTCTTTAACCCATGGCTCAGCCTTTCGACAGTTCTGCCATCCTGGGCTATGATTTAACTTCCCACAAATAAAAATGGGGTGCCAACAGGGCCTGTGTTCAATGGATGCTAGAGGCCTGGGCGAGGCTTCCCTACAAGGAGCGCCTCCTGGGACAGGGAGCTCCTGCCATCAGTGTACCTGCTGTCTTCTCACCATCAGACACTTGTAGGTTGTTGTTAAGATCTCCAGGGCCAGTTGAGGGAGGAGAGACTCCGAGTACAAGACAGGCTTGAATGTCAAAGAGAGAGAGGATGTGGAAGCAGCAGCCAGAGGCTCAGAGATATCACTCACCGTAGGACCATCATGTAGAGCGGGTTGTGGGAGACACAGGCAATGAGCGCCACAAAGGAGATAAGGAAGATGGATGGGAGCAGCAGCTGCGCACAGGATGTGGGGCATGAGCCTGTCTTGGCCGACGTGGACCCTCCAGTCACACAGCTGCAGTTCAGATAGACCTTGAAGAACAGGAGGGGCCATGTCATGATTTCACCTCCGTATATGTCACACATCCACACTACCTCCCTCTAATACGAACAAATCCCTCTGCCCTTCCTCCAGCCCCCTAGGGGTAGAGGAAAAGTGTGGATTTGAAAACTCAAGAGGTCAGATGAAGGTTTTAGAGTACCCCGTGGGGTCCTGGATCTTTCACCGTTTGGGGCATTAAAAACGGTCTTCACCAAGAGCCCAGCATGGGCTGAACTCCTGTAGCCTCTCCAACATCTGAACGCCCAAGATCCTACAAGCAGGCAAAGCAGCCTCAGCTCAGCTCCTGGAGCCGGGGAGCTCTCCTCCTGGTCCAGCCCTCTGTGGTGGTTGTACAAGTTGTTATGAGGAGAAGGTATACTTTACCTTCTCCCAATAACAATAATGGAGTGAGTCTCTTGAACAGTCTGCAGTATTCTCCACTGAAGAGGTGTCCTTTGGCCTAAGAGGAGACCCCAGAGGAGGACTCTGCATCGTCATAACTCTGTGTGACTCAATTCTGTTGTTCAACTTGTTTGGTGGCCACTGCTCATCTGGTCATCTTTGCCTTCCTTCCTTGCTGTGGCTGATGGCCCGGCCTATGATGATGTTGGTGTGAGAGCTGTTATGAAGTTATGCCAACCAATGAGCTGGGAGGCCTCCCTCCGTCAGTCAGTGGGACTGTGCCTCTGGAGCTCAGACGTTCCTAATACACGATAGATATTGCTATAACCTCCCGCAATCTGGATCTTAAAATATCAAGACTCTCCCCCTTATAATTTATTATTTTTTCCTTGCTATCATGGTAATGGATATTATCTTGATGTACTTGTGCTGTTATTGGAAGCTTGTCAAGATTATTTCTGGAAGTAGATGAGTCAGAGGTAAGTAAATAAAGATAAGAAAACCACAGAAGCCACCACTCCTCCAGTTAAAAGGCAAACTAGGCTACTATCTTGTCTTAGCTCCTCACCCTTCTCTACCTGACAGCCATGTGCCTTTGCCCATAGTGACAGCTGGGGAAGCAGCTTTTTCCTGACACCTCCAAAGAGGTGGTAAGTGGGGGCTAGCCTGGCCCACGGACTATACACAGGTGCATTCTTTCTATGGGGACATCCTATAGTAATGGCATAGACTTTCCGTTGCTCTCATGGGAGGGAGTTAAGAGGAGGAATAACCTACCTCCTAAGCCTGGCTTGCCTGGCCCTGCCTTGCTCTGAGACTGTCTGTCCCTTGTTCCGCAAGCTGTGACACTTGTTGTTTAGCTTCGACCAGGCCTTCCTTCAGCTTCTGTGATGCATTTTCACCTGGGCTTGGTATCTGCTCTTCCCTCACCTGCAATGGACTTCCAGGTTTCCATAGGATTCCTCTGCTCTTTGCTCAGGTGGTGTAAGTCACCTCAGGAAGTCCCCCAGCATTTATTGTGTGCATTCATTGGACTGAATGTAAACTGTGAGACCAGGGCTTTCTGTCAACATGGTGGCTGCACACATGGATGTCTGTTTACTAACTAATAAACAAATGACTGCAGGAGTTATTTGCTGATCCCAGAAGACCTGGGGCTACTGTCCTCACACATTGATAGATAAGTCCCTTGTAGGTTGTCTAAGGAGACACTTGGCCTTCAACACCAAGCGAGCAGAGCATTCGTTTCTAATCCTAGATTGGCACTTAATTTCATGGCTTCAGGCCAACTCTGTGCCACTCCTGGGAGCTTAGGGCTTGAAGCCCCTCGACTGTTGCTCCCAGCACTGGCCTCTCAAGTCCAAGTCACAGGAGACCCTCTGCTGCCATCCCATGTGACTCTTTAACATGGTCTGAGCCCAGAACCCAGAAGTTCCCCCCACAGGGAGCCATAAGTATCAGTCACAACTCTTCACTGTGGGCGAATGCTTGGACTTGTTTCCATTGTCTTGCCAAGTCCCCAAGAATGAACTTGTTGGTCTCAGGCCAGTCTTTAATTGACTTTAGGCTGTGGGCATCTGGTCATGACCCTGGGGCAGGGAAGGTAGAGAGGGTGGAGGAGGCTAGGGTGCTGATACTAAAGTACCAAGGAACAGTTTTTGAGGTAACACACTGAGCCCCAAAGCTCCATGTGGCTCCGTCTGCCCCTGTGACCCCTTTGTCCTTACTGGTTGCTTAGAAGCTGCTGAGCTCATGTTGAGGCTGCTGCAGCCGGCGTGGCAGGGAGAGAGGTACTCGACTCCATTGTCTCCGCAGACAGGATGGAAGATGGAATCTGGGCACAAGCAGTCCCTGCGGCAGGCAGGAGGCTGTGGATGTATAGAACTTGATGTGCTGCCAGAGAAACAGGAAGCAAGGAATCAAACAAAGCAAGACGAAGAAACAGCAGGAGTTCCTGGCCTGGCTGATGTACCTGCATGCCCCTGTTTGTCTTGGGCCAGAGCTACCCTAGGATCTGAACTCAGCCCGTAGGAGCCTGTTGTGAATCTGACATGGTTTGGAAATCATGGCCCTCTCTGTTTCTCCTGACCCATGGAGTCCAAACCCACCAATTGCTCAGTTGCAAAGGTCTAGCCAGAACCACCCCCAACCCCCACCATGCCACTGTCAGAGTTAAAATGACCAACAGACAGACTCTGTTGAAAGAATGGTCTATGCTACAGTGATGTCATTAATAACATTTGCCTTCTCTCATTGCCCAGCTAGGTGCTGGCTCAAGGCAGCGGCTGAGATCTTTGGAGGCAACTGAAGTTTTCACGGACTGTTCATCTCCTGAGACAAATAGATTCACTGATCTGGGTCTGTCCATTCCCCTCCCTGGCCAGAACTTCATCAGAGTCGATTTTGATGGCTGATCTTACTGATCTTTGGGGAAGTTCTGATGGCTGAGTAGTACATTGATAAGTAACAGTAGTGACTGTTGGCATTTATGGGACATCACAATGGAAGGGGCTTGTTGTGTATGGATAACTCCCTTGTAGCAACAAAAAACATCATACCTAGAACTCAAGCCAGGCAGGTGACAGAGGTGGGACCAACTTCCCAATGAAAACCACCCCAAGGTTCCCAAACTTTCAGGGTTCCCTGGGTCCCCAGTCAGCCTGCAGAGCAGCGGTGAGTTCCTCATGTGACAAGAGTCCCCTCCTTTGTTCTGCTCTCCTCCCTCACCTATCAACTATGGAGGAAGTCATTTCACACTGTGCTTTTGCCTTTTGCCTGATGCTGTTGCAGAACTTGGAGATGTTGCTCTCCATGAGAAAGAGAATATGCTGGGATTAAAAGGTTCTGAGTCTCCAAATCTTGCAAATGCTTTTAGGCAAAGTCCTAAAGAAAAAGTTGCAAGGTGATTACCTAGGGTGGGGTAGGGGGGTGGAAGGAGGTAGGGGGTGAACATGTTCTATGCTCACGGGGTTGTAACACTCTTTCTGAAGATAAAGCTTGACTCTAAACTTATTTAAGCAAACAGATCGGTCCTTTGACCTGCCTCTGCCTCTCCAGCCCCCCCCCCTTTTTTTTAAGTGTGTCACCATTTTAATTGTTCATCTCGAAATCTTTTCAAGTCTCCTCTCCTCTTTCTTCGAGAGCTCAGTGAGACTCAAACTCTAGCTGGTCCAGAGCTGACACTAACCACTGCTTATTTCCTGGCTCCTACGGCTCAGGTTCAGTCAACAGTAAACTGACTAGTTTCTGTTACTTCTTAGAAAACGGAACCCTAAACCCAACCACAACGGTTGGCCGATCTCATCTCATAATGGATTGTACTATTTGAGACCTGGTTCCCTGTGTCACCCTGTGAGAGATCAGATCCAGTGAGCAGGAGGGAGGAGGTGAAAGGCTGAGAAGAGAGACATACAGTGGCTGGATTCAGGCTGGGCTTACAAAGGGTATCTCTACATCCCTTGGTCCATACCTGGGAGGGTAGACCTCAGCCACGGCTGGTGTGGAACATCCCATAAAGAAGAGAGGGGCACATAGGATCATGGAGATGGTCATAATGGTGGCAGCTACTCGGGGGATGGTTTGCAGAGGGAAAGCGAACCGCTTCATGAGAATTCCTCCAAATAGCATCCCCAAGGCCGCAGATGGAAGGTTTACAGCACCTAGGTGAGAAGGAGAGGAGCTGGATACACAGCCTGGGAGCCTTGAGCTGAACCACCAGGAAGGAACACAGCTTCATGAAGGAGCAGTGGACACATTCAAGTATGATAGTAGTTAGTGGCTGACTACTGAATATCCTTAACTATCGAGTGTTTGCTGGGTTGCTTTACTAGAGGGTTGGCTAGCCTGATCAAAGAGCCAAGAGGCAGTCAGCTTCTGACACCTGTAACCCAGCACTTGGGAAGTGGAGGCAGAGGGATCAGGAATTCTAGGTGATCCTCAGTTATGTAGCAAGTTCAGAATCACCCCGGGCTATTCTAGGACTTGTATCAAAGAGACAAAATTGAGAACAAGACAACAAGAACAAAAATAAGGAAGTAGATCATCCTTGGGTGGCGACTCCTGATCCAAGACTGAAGGCTGGAGAAATGATATCATCCCTAAAGGCTATACAAGAGTTCAGTGTGGACAGAGAGGTCACCCTCAGATCTCATTCCCTGATTATCTTGTTAAATCTTTGGTTAAATTTACCTATAGATCTGGCCCAGTTATTCATCTAGGTACTTGGTGGAACATCCACTAATGGTTCTTAGCATCTACTGCAAGAAGTATGAGCACCCCCAACACAGATTTATTAGTCCAGGTGGGGGCCAAGCATCTGCACTGTCCTTGTGTAAAGGAGCCTGACGTGCCACAGAGTTGAGACTCAAGTTCCTAGAGAAGGAAACCCCTAGACGGTGTTATGTATGTCTTAAGCTCCTAGGCAGTGTTATACATGTCTCAAGGTCCATGCTCCCTCTCTCCTCTGTTGCCTATGATAAGGTCAGTTGGGAGGATATCAGATTCCTACCCTCTTGATGGAAAGGAAGGCAGCCTCTAGTCTCTACCCACTCCTGAATAGAAGAATAGGAGTCTCAGAGTCCTGCCAAAATCATTCTAGATTGCCAACCAGGAAAAATGTTCTTAAAATTCTTTCTCTTGGGCAAGCCCTCCTGTCTCCTGCCTGTATCCGGTCTGGCCCTCAGTTATCTCTGTACAGATGGACTGTACAGTACCCAGTTCCTCCCCAGGGCAGCACCACCCGGGCCCTGCAGTGCCCTCTGACACACCAATGAGGAGGTTGGCATAGGCTGCTGAGGCACCGTACTGCTTCTCCAGGAACTTGTTGAGGAATGTGGAGAGGCCAGCGATGACTGAGGAGAAGGTACACTGGCTCAGGACCACCAGCATGAAGAGTGGGTTCAGCAGCAGCCTCAGGAAGATGCGGGGGAACCCTGCAGGCAGACAGCTATTAGGAGACAGGCCTTGGCAAGAGCGTCACAGGCTTCCTAGAGCCTTGCCGTCACCCTGACTCATCCACAGGGACAGCTTCCTCTCTTCCTCGGGGCAGAATCAGAGACACCCAGACTCCCAGCAGTCAGCCCAGGGTCCTTGGATTCCCAGTCACCACACTTGTGGTCCGACTAAGAGGATGCTGGTGATGGGTAAATAGAAACACTGCTCACACTGAGAAAGGTCTCCTCCCACAACTTCCACCTCTATAGGAAGAGAAGAGAGAGCAGAAGGGGGAGACTTGGGAGGGGTGACTGGCTCTGCCTGAAGTGGGGTTTACTGGTCCCTGTAAAGAACCAGTCACCAGGGTCCTTGGTAGGAGCCCTCTGAACTGAAGGTGCATCTGGGAGGTGAGGCAGTCACAGACCTTAATGTTTCTTGTTGCCCTTTACCCTGTACCTGGCCTCCTGCCTCCCAGAACCAGCCCACCCTAGGCTGCTGGGGCAGTCAGTTACGTTTAATGAAATCCATCAGGGAGCCTCTTGACTTGTTCTCCTCCATCTTCATTGTTTCCTCTGCGATAACAGACCTCTGAAGGTAGCAAACATGGTGATGTTAATGGCCCATCCTTGAGCCCTTGACTCTCTGGACTCAGTGGCTCAAGGACCACACGTGTGTGTGGGAGGGCATCTGGAGAATGGACTCCTGAAGCAGATACCACCAGTGTTTTCAGGAGCCTGGTGCCTTGGCAGGAGGCCAGAGTGACTCTGTGCCAACACCTCCCACAGTACCTATGGGCATATTATTTCATCTGACTTTCCCATGACTGATGCCAAAAGCATTGTCCTGGACTCTACCTTTGTCTATGTTATGACTACAGTGTGTCCCATATGCAGATTCTGGAGATGTCTGGCTTCTAGGACACAGGGGTCTACAATGTCTGCTGTTCTCAGCTCTCCCTTTCTGTGTCCTCTCTGGGTCCCTGCTTTCTCTTTGGTCCAGAGGAGAGCCCTACTGTAGGCTCTGTCCTAACCATTACCCGTGCCTTCTGGGCATATTACCTCAGTGCCCTTGCCAGTTTCTGAAGCCTACAGCTCCAGCCAGAGGCCCCAGCTCTCTCTGAGCCACTGATAGACAGAGGCCAGGGCTTTGCCATAAGCATTTTTTGACGCTCCCATTAACTGAGCTCCTCTGCTCTGGGCAACATGCCCATCACTCTCTATCCATTGCCTCGTCCCTCACAACTTCCTTCCCGGACAGATTCTTTAATTACTCCCAAGAACTTTATAAGAAAGGAAGTGTAGAAACAAAGCAACTTGCCTAATATCATTCAGCAAGTTTATGAGGGGAACAGTCCTCAAGCTTAGAGCTGTCCGACTCTTAGCCTATCAAAACACGCCCTAACCTCTTAAATGCTCCCCTGGGATAAGCTTTGGGCCTCTACTCACACCCCATTTCCCACAGTGGGGGCCTTTCTGTCTTAAATCATAGACACAAAGCAGCAGCTCCAACCCAGTCCTCAGCCAAACCTTTGCATCACTGCTCAGGAACAGCCAGACAGGCCTTTGTCCCCATCTCTGATGGCCATTGCCTTGACCCTCAACCATGTTTCCCTTCTTTCTCTTGAGCCTCTCAGGTCTCCAATCTTCATTCTTTCATGAGCCTCAATCTCAGCCAACTGCCATATTGTCACTACATGGCCACACAGTCACCACAGTGACTCCAGAACCCACAGGAGAAAATGTTGGACCTTTTAGTGTAACATAAAGGCTCCACCCAATCTCCTCTCTGCTGCTTCCTAGTTTTATCTTTCTGGTTTTTTTGCCCCAGCAGACACAGCCCTATCCCAGACGCTCTCCTTCTCAGCCCATCCTTGCACCACGCCCACACTCACACCCTGAGTGGACTCCCCATTCTCCCCAGGCATTCAGGCTCAAACCTTAGTAAGCTCCATTAAATGTCCAAGTTAACTGTGCCTCACTACCTGCTCAGCTTTCGTGTGTGTGTGTGTGTGTGTGTGTGTGTGTGTGTGTGTCCACGTGAAGGCCTTGGATGCCATCTTTCTGGTACCACCTATCTTTATTAAGTATATATACAAAAGCTGTTTTCAGACATACCAGAAGAGAACACTAGATCCCATTACAGATGGTTGTGAACCACCATGAATTGAACTCAGGACCTCTGGAAGAGCAGTCAGTGCTCTTAACCAACCACTAAGCCATCTCTCCAGTCCCTCATATTGATTTTTAAAGAGGTCTTTAAGTAGCCTGGAGCATCCCACATAGGCTGTCTGGCTATGAAGCCTTAGGGAATACTTCCACTTATCTGCTTCCCCCAGCACTGGATTGCAATTAAATACTACCACGCCTGACTTTCAAAGATGGAGGTGGCATGGCTCAAGCCCAGGGCCTCATGCTTGCATGGCCGCCCTCTATGGACTGAGTTGTCTCCCTGTCTCCTATCCCGTTGTGCAGTGTTAATTGTTTCTTAACTCTCTAGCCCAGCTTAGATGAACTTGGGATTTCCAAACTATGTTCCTTGGAACCCTCTGGTCTTTGAGATGACAGCGGTATGAAGGCACTGAGGGGTGCCTGCTCTCAGCCTCTGATGAACCCTGGGTCCTGAGACTTCGTTTCCCTCAGTTTGCAGAGGCAGCTGCAGCTTCCCAGCATTTCTTTTCTAAGCCCGTGTCCTTTGCTTATGCTGCTACATCCACAGAGTCGTGGGCTCTGGAAAACTTACCTCTGCTCCTCTGGACATGGCTCGGGGAAAGAAGAAAAAGGGCAAAGAGGTGACAATCAAGAAGCCTGAGGAGATGAGCAGGCCCAGCCACCAGGCTCCGATCCACCGAGGGTCACCTGGGCTCAGGTTCACTGTAGCTGAAAAGAAACCGAGGGACAGAAGTGTCTGTTGGTTGAATGCACGATCTCTCCGACCTGACTCAAAGGAAAATCTGATTCAGGGGGATGCTTTACTGACTTTCTTCCCACAATGGTAGGAAGACACACTATAATGCAGGACCCTGATCAGTACAACTCTACCTCTCCAGGCCTTTCTGGTATTCCCAGAATACCCCAGTCACTGCACTGAAAGGCAAACACTAGCCCTGCCTCACATTGTGTTTCCTCTCTGGCTCTTGGCAGGAATAACGGTGAAATGATCTGGTCTCCAGAGGGCTGACACAGTTCACGCACTACTACACACTTTACCACCACCATCCTACCGGCTCTTCTAGCATCCAGGTGATGGGAGAGTTACACACATCTGACTTCCTCTGACTGATCCCGAGACCAAATCTTTTGTCCATTAATCAATTTCAAACCTGTGTTGCTGGTGTCCTAACCTGTGCACTTAACCATTGAGCTCTTTTACGCCTTACTTTTGAGGATCCCTAAGAAAGGAAGTCCCATAGTTCTTAGGAGCTTGAGGATAGAGCCATCAACAAACTGGATTGCCTGGCCTCCAAACAGAAATGTTCCCCTGAAACTCTGCCCCACTGCGCTCTAGCCCCCTTTGTGTTCCTTGATGTCAAACATGGACACAGAAGGAGGGAAGGAGGTGGCAAAATGGTGTCCAGTCACTCAATGACAGGCACCTGTGGGCAGTATCCCATTGGACTGAGAGCTCCATTGCTGATCTCTTTAGGCAGCCAAAGGGGAGGAGCTAAACCAGAAGCAGCACTAAATGGGTGATAAGAATGAGTGTTCTTTGCATACGCACCCGTGTCCACTCTGCCATAGTCCACGAAGATTCTCAGCATGACTGAACCCAGCAGGTACCCAAAAGCCGGTCCAAACACGGCGATAGCAAATAAGATGGCTGGAAATTGAAGTAAGGGATAAAAGGCTGAGGGGCATTGAGGAAGTTTGGCATTCCTAGTCTCCCAAACTGAAGGAGATTCCTAAGGTGCCACTTACTGTCCCCTGGGAATAACAAGCCCATGCCTGTGACACCTCCTGAAGCCCAAGCCTATTACATCTCCTGCAGATAAGGAAGGGCCAGATGCCAAGGCTTGCCGAACCAAGCCTGCTGCTCCTCCAGCACCTGCCAGAGAGATCTGCTGGCCTGGCATGAACTTTCCTCCATGGTATCTTTAAAAACATGCCAGTCCAGGGTGTGCTATAGTTACAGTGTTGTGTGTGTACAGTGCTGATGGCTCTGGCAGGTGCTCATGGAGTCAAAGAGGCAGTCTGTGACCTGAAGCCCTGAGAAAGCTCAATGTGGCTTTTTCTAAAGGAAGGGATTATGTACCAGTTGGCCATCTGCTGTCTTCTTCATGCATGCTGTCCTATTCACAACTCAGAATATTGGTATATCACCTAGCATGAGCCTGGAGAACTCAGTAATTTGTTGAGGATCTACAGAGTGGCTAACACCTGGCCCATAGGCCACACGGTCTCCAGGACAGTTATGAATGTGGCCCAATACCAAATTTAAACTTAAAGCATTATGGGATTTTGTTGTTGTTGCTGTCGTTGTTGCATTAAAAAAAAAAAAAACCTCAATTGCATGGTTTTCTAGTGTGAACTTGGTAGAACACAATGTCATGCTATGGTGTCAAAGGCTCAAAACAGGGCTAAATGGTGATCTGTATCAGCTCACCTAACCTCAAAGCATGTGGCTCACACAAAGAATCTTAGTGCTGTCCTCCAGGTAAGAGCCTGGGGACTTGGGTTGGCCACTTGAGGTCCATCCAAGCGGAAGGAAACAGAACTGGCGTTTACAATGGGCCTTTTTCATGTACCATGTTGTGGGTCAAGCAAATCAGACCCCATTTCAGCCCCAAGAACTTCAGCAGGTTCTGCATCAGGTCCTGACTCCCCACCCCGCACAGCCCTGTTAAAGCTCAAGACTCACAGATATACAGAGGCGAGTTGGTAGGCTCTGCAAAGTCGTCCACATAGGAGATCCCAAATGGCTGAATGGGCACCGTGCCAATGCCGGCCAGCAGCTGAGCAACTACCATCAGGCCCCACATGCTGCTGGTCTCCTTTTGGGTATCAGGCACGGTGCTGTGGCACTTACTGGGGGGCACGTCTGACAAATGCTTCTGACAGAGGTCGGTCTGAAAGCTGCTGTTTCCTGCAATGAGCATGCCCAGTGGTCACTACCACCCTGCTTTCCCGCTTCCACCATCTGTCCTTCTGTCCCGCTCTTGTTCCATCCTTTCTTCCATACCCCAGAGGAAGGGAAAGAGGGCCAGGGATGGGAAAATAGGACATGAGGAGTATTCCTCTGCTTGCTTGGCAGAAGGGGCTACAGAGACTGAGGTGAGAGCAAGGGGGATGGTGGTTCTTGCAACAGGACCAGTTCTGCCCAGGAAGGAGAAGGCACAACCATTTCTCCTTTTGTGCTGGTGCTGGCAGCAGGTTGAGCATAGTAGATCCATATTGCAGTCCTGGAGGAAAGCACCACCCATCTGGAAGAGGTGATCCACAGTCAAAACCCAAAGTTCTCCTCAGCAAAAGACTATGTCACAGCCAGGCTTGGCTCTGGTCTTCCCTGCATCTTGACCCTCTGATCCTTCACTTCTGAATGAACCCAGTACCACATCATGGTGAAGGATTTACTCCAAAGGTATTTAGTGACCTGACCACACCTGGGCAGCCCCTCAGAATCATAGACTCTTAATGCTTCTTGGCTCTTTGGCCAGGACCAAGAGAAGAATCACAGACTCTGAAAACAAGGGGATTTGGAGACCCTTTCATATTACAGATTGGGGAACGAGGCTGCCCCTTCAGGCCCTTCTGGGAGGGCTCTAGTCATCCCAGTATAGCCTTTGGACACTGGTTCCTGTGGCTGTAGACTTTGCCAGGCTTGGCAGCTGCTTCCATACCTCTGTTTTCAATTTGGCTCACACTAAACAATCAGTATTGTCAGCTTTCCAAGGCCTTGAGAGGTTTGAGGGAATCTTTTCCAGATTCCTTTTATTCCTGCTTCATCCTGGCCAATGGAAACCTCTGACGTCACTAATCTTCCTCTGCGAGGTTTTCATTAACACGGATGGAATCAGTTTAGTTCCTACTTGTGATCTTCTCAGAGGTGTGGCCTGAGCTAGTGGGCCCCCGAGTCCCCTGGAGAGAAAAAGTGGGGGCCATGGAAGAGATGGTAAAGCTGGGGCAGGGGCTCTGCCTTCCCTGATGCCCCATTCCCCTTCCACATAGGTCTCCTGTAGCCAAACCCCGTCACTTCCTGTTCTCAATGCCGGTGTCTAGACAAGACCCATGTGCAAACTTCCAGCAAAGGAGCTTCTTCGATGGTCATCAAGATCTGACTCAGAAAAGACAGAGGGGATGAAGACCAGGTATTATAGTATCAAGTATTCTGTAAAGCCATGTATGGCATGCTCATCAGGGATCTCAGCACTCAAGGAGCTGAGGCAGAAGGATTACCAGTTAGAGGACAGCCTGGTTTGCATAACCTATACCTCTCTCAGTAAACCGAACTGTTACTACAACCACTAGCCAAGGCTCATTGGTGGTGCAGAATGTAGATGACTTTAACCGAGACAGGGCCTTGGCCACCTTTAGTGAGTGTCCTTTGGTGTACGTTATCTATTCGGGAATAGTTTAAAGAACATCTGAAATCAAATGATAATCCCAAGAAAGAGGCGTAGAGTTGTCCCTGTGCCAGCTCGGTCACTGAAGGCACGTGCCTCAGTCTGAGACACTATCCTCTGAATGGCAGTGTGGGTGAAGCCTGCCTCTTGAAAAACATGCACCAAGATTCAAGTCCTCTTCAGTCTCCCAGCCATCTGGCTAGTGACCATGAGAGAGGGCCCTCCCCATGCAGGTGACAGAGGGACACAGGCATGGCCCTTACATAGTCTCCAATCCATGATGGCCTCTGGGTTGTTAAAAAAAAAAAAAGCAACTACAGTACTGCTTTGCCAAATCAGAAACAGGATGCGATGAGATATTAGGTAATATCCCACAGGATGGCTAGCATCAAAAAGCCAGAAAACAGTACGTGTTGGTGAGAATCCAGAGACTGAGAGACCCTTGTGCATTGCTGGTGAATTATGTGAAATGCTGCAGTCACTCTGCAAAGCAGGTTCAAAACCCAGAAAGAGACATTACCTTATAATTCAACGATTCCCATAATAATCAAAGTCATTAGACACAGAAGCTTGAAAAGATTTTTGTTTTGTTTTTCAAGATGGTTTCTCTGTACAGCCCTGGCCGTCCTGGAACTCTCTATAGACCAGGCTGTCCTGGAACTCACAGAGATCCTCCTGCTTCTGCCTTCCAACTACTGGGATCAAAAGCATGTACCACCACTGCCCTGGAAGAGCTCTTTCTTCTTCTTCTTCTTTTTTTAAGACTCTCCATCTTAAAAAAGACTTATTTATTTGTTTATTTATTTATTTATTTATTTTATGTATGTGAGTACATTGTAGCTACCTGCAGCCACAGTGGAAGAGGACATCAGATCCCATTACAGATGGTTGTGAGCCACTGTGTGGTTGCTGGGACTCGAACTTAGGAAGGACCTTTGGAAGAGCAGCCAGTGCTCTTGACCACTGAGCCATCTCTCCAGCCCTGAAGAGATCTTTATGCTCCTATATTTACAGCACCATTGTTGGTGAAAACCAAGAAGTAGAAACTCAGTAATTAAGTCAACTATGGTACATACAATAGGGTATTATTCAGTTTGTAAAGGAAGAAAGTTCCGCTGTATGCTAATATAGATGAGCTTTGAGGACACTATGCGCTAAGTGAAAGAAACTAAACAGAATGACAAGTCCTGTCTGACTCCATTAGCAGGAGGCTTCTAAAGTGGCCAAATTCATAAAGACAGAGAGTTTGCCAAGGGCTAGGGGAGAAGAGAGTGAAGACACTGCATATAATCGATTCACATAAGAATGTTCTGGAGGTGGGTGGCTGTCGGGAGCCAAACCCAGGAAACTACCTGCTGTCCTAAGGGAACCTAGGAAGTTACCTGCTGTTCTAGAAAGCCTAGTCAGGGCAAGGTTAAGAAAGGACGTTCACGGGTCTCAGGCCCCAGGAACTTAAAGAACGTCTGGCATTTCCTAGGAGCCGGTTACGACAATGGGACGGTCTAGGGCAATAAGGATATGACAGTGAGATGGTCTAGGGCAATAAGGATTCAACAGCCCTAAGCAATGACCCTCACCCAAACTTCCCTGTTTGCTGTGTCTTTATAACCTGCACCCGAAATTAAAGTTTCAGAGCTTGATCAGAACCCCAGACTTGCTCTCATTCCTTGTCTCTCTTGTCCCTTCATTCTTTTGCCCCCTTCCCTAAGGTCTCGTCGAATCCCCGCAGGCCGGGGCAGGTGGCTGTGATGGATGCACTTAGCCCCACCAGCACGCATCTTACAGTGGTAGAATGGTAAACTTCACATTATATATTTCACCACATTTGGAAAGCACACACAGGACAGAGAGTAAAGGGTAAACGGGAAACTCTGAGTGGGCGTGACGGGCAGTGGGAAGGTATTGGAAAAGGTTTCCTGGAGAAGGGGGGCTCTGAACCAAGAAGAAGACACAGTGAGAAGCCAGGGTGTCTCAGCACTCACGAGTGAGTGACACAGTTCACAGAGAAGTTGTAGGGTGGAGTTACGCAGTGCAGCTACTGCAGGTGGGCAGAGTGCCTTGGGAAGCAGCCTGGATTGTACCCCAAGGACACGCCAAGACAGGTGAAGACCCTGACAGGGCACTGAAGTACAGTTTCTGGGTGGACTAAGGCCTGAGTTCAAGGCAGAAAGACCCTCAGCCAGAATTGTCTAGAGCTCAAACAGGTAAGGCTGTGTGCTCTGGGCCTGCGGGGGCTCCATGGCTGAATGAGGATGAAAACATTCACTAGGTTGGACTGTGGTGGGAGAATGAAGGGAACTGGAGGTGGGGATGGGGGGGTGACAACTTGAGGAACTTCTAGGGGAAATAAAAGTTCCTGAGAATCGAGTTTATTCTATGTTTACTCTATTTCCCAACTTCTTCTCTCCTTGCTATTTAACGAAACCCACGCTCATGAGGACTTCGTTGCTGCCTTGGCTGGCAAAAGCATATTTTGTGAGATATTTAATGGTCATCAAAGACCGTAAAAACATTGACTGCCTTATTAAGTCTTCATGTGGCCTACTGCATGGTATGCCAAAGCCGCAGAAATCCTCATGGAGTTTTATCTAGTGAAGTGTTCAGCAGCCAAAGTCTCTGGGGATCGTTTCACTATTATTAAGTTTAAAAAGTCAGTGTGCAGGTCAGAAATACCTCTTATTCAAAATATTTATGAAAAAAAATCAGTTGGCCCCAACTACCCCCAAGTCTCCAGATCTTCCACGGCTTTCTTCTCTTCCTCACACTGATTCACGATCTCTCTGCAGAGCATGTCTTTCCAGATGCCGGTCCTGAATGAGGCCCAAATCTATTTCAGATCCAGCTCTGACACTTGTGCAAAGGGACAGTAGTTGGAACTGAGGAGACAGCTCAGATCATAAAGTGCTTGACCTCAGAAGCATGAGACCTGAATTTGATCTCCAGAACCAATATGAAAAGCCCAGCATGAGGGCACACGCTTGTAATGCCAGTGTTGGGAAGATGGGGATCACATGGCTTGTGGCCACCCAGCCTAGTCTAATTGGCCAGCCCAAGTCCCAGTGAGAGAATATGTCTGAAAAAATATGGTGGATGACTATTCTGAGGAACAACACTCAGGACAACCTCTGGTCTCCAGATGTACCACACACACACACACACACACACTCACATGCATACAAGCACACATCTGCCCACACATGCACACACACACATCTGTACATACATCCACATATGAATGCACACATGTATGTCCATGCACACATGCATGTCCATGCAGCAGTAAACTCAGCCCTTAGAGCAGGGCTTCTTTCTCCATGGGCACCATCTCGGAGGAACAACAGCTGGCTACCTTGGAGGTGGCAAGCACTGAGCCCTGGAGCCCAGAGTGCTGAGGAAGTCTGCTGCTCCCTGCCCTACAGGGCAGTTGATAGCAGTTGGATCCTTATGCAGGATCTTAGGAACAAGGCACAGACGCCTGGCCATCACACACTGGGTGAAAATAGGGTCTTAGATGTTTTTAAAA